GTGGGGGCGCCAGAGGGGACTCCAAGGCCAAAGTAGGAACCTGGGACGGAGGCGGCGCTGGAGATGTGACCTGGACTGGAGAAATTGAAGCTGGAGCTGTGGTTAAGGTAGAAACTGGAGACAATGGGACCACAGCACCTCCTCCACCACCTCCTCTACCGTCCCTCGAATCCCTCTCTCGAAGCAAGTGGACCAGGGCGGCATGCTGGGCGCTGAGGGTGGCAGAGAGATGGGCAGGCAGGGTGTTGAAGCCGGCGGTGAGTTGCTCCACCCGCTGCTCCAGAGACAGCATCTGACGCTCCAAGTCCTCGCTGCGGTCGTTGAGCTCCGACATGAGCTCATACATGACACTCTGCATCTACAAGAGGAGAGGAGAAGAGAAGAGAAGAGAGTGGGAGATGAGTCAGTGCACATAGAGTACTTTGAAGAAGGGAGACAGATTGCAAATACGTAAAGAGGAGTCTTACGAGGATTGCTTTAATAAAGCTTGTTTAAAAACAATTCTTTTGGACTAAATAAGAAGAGACAGTGAAAGTAAAAGAGAGTGAAGTAAAAGTGGAAAGAGGGCAAGCACGAGGCTAGGGAGAAGTGAGTAAGACACTGAGCAAAAGGAAAAAAATGTCCAAGAGGGAGTAGAAGCTGGAATGAACAAGAGGCTGGAGGGAAGTCTCTATGTGGGCGTTATAACATTGTGAAGAAAGAGAGAATAAGAGAGAGGAGAGAGAGAATGAAAGGAAGATGGCAGAGTGTCCCTGCCTTGCACATCCTGGCCTCCGTAACCATGGTAAACGCACAAGTGGCCAATTGAGATGGAGTCATTGAGATGGCATAATTGCAAAATATTTGGTGCTAAAGGCATTGCTTCTTGGAAAGACACAAACACACACACCCTCGCTCGATCTTTTCCTTCCTCTTGTTCAAGTCTCAAGTCTCCATCTCACTCCCCCCCCCTTCACAATCACATACACGTTCACAAGCAGACACACGCACAAACACACACACACACAAACACATACGTGTGCGCTCACATTCTCACTCAGACACCCACACAGTAACTGAAAAACATGAGCGCTCCCCTCCCTCCTCGCATTTCCTCCTCGCTCTCTCACTCAGTCATCCCTGTTTTAACACTTGTTCCGGTTGCTAGGAGACACAAAGCCACAGAAACGGGCAGGTCAGCATTGAAACGGAGGAATGTTGTGGTATATTTTCGGGGGGCAAAGGCATGTTGGGTATGTCCTGTGCAATGGTTCTATGTCATACATAAATAAAGAACATGGGTGTGTGTGTGTGTGTGTGTGTGTGTGTGTGTGTTTGTCTCACCTTTGAGAGGTCCACTAGTGTGTTGGCCTGATCACTGAGTTTCCTCTGCTCCATTTTCACACTGCGTAATCTGCAAACAGACATACACACACATTAAATACACACACATACAAAGATGAAACCCAGTAAATACACAGCGGTCGGTCCAGAGAGCTAATCCCTCCGGGTCGAGACAACAACTCTGTGGAGCGGTCACCTTGCTTAATTCAGTTTCATTTCTACCTGCAGTCGCTGGATTTAAATATCCAAACAGCAAGCACGCTAGGTGCTCTGAAACACTGTAATTTTGTAATGCACGTGATAATATACATCCATTAATGTAAAAGACTGAGACCTTAAGCTCTAGAGTAAATGAACAGGGTCGTTTTAATATGAAGGAACCTTCAGGACAATAAGGCCTACAGGGAAAATTAAGGGCAATGAAATTAAATAAATTATCTTTGTATTTTTATAAAACAAACCATGTGGCTTCTGCCACTATAATGAAGTGCAGACTGATTTTATGAGGCTTTGCCAGATTGAACTTGTCTCCCTGTTACGCTAACAGGTTTGAACCTGAAAAAAATAAGTCATATCCACATAAAATTGCCCTGTTACTGTCTTCACAGAGTCTGCCTCTCATCCACAGTCTACATGCTGCAGGATTAGCCTTTATGTTACAATTAAAACAGTCTTAGGTCTCTTGACTCTGGCTTTTGAAGGCACTTGTTAATGTCCTCAAGTCTAGACTGAACGGTTCAAGATCAAAGGAGCAAACAACAAAAAAGAGCCACTTAATTGTGATGCTAGACAGAGAGTATACAAAAATCTACAACCTTTAACAAGACAAGCGCCCGATTCAAATATAACTAAACAATGTTATGGGAGAGAAATGAATAACAATGCACGATTTAATTCTGCTGGATGTATTTGTATCATTAAAAATAGTTCCAAGTACAGATAATATGATGATAAGAGAGCCTCTAATAGTACACAGTGCACTGATTATCCAGTCCCACAACTGTATTTGCCTGGAGTGAACCTGCCCTTTAGTAGATGATGATTCATTTTGTGTGTTTCTCTTTCTCTCTCTGTGTGTGTGTGTAGGGATTCATGCACTTTATCTGATTATCAGCGTTGATTCAACCTGTGGGTGGATAGAAAGTACAGCTGATTTCAAAGGCTTCAGCAGCTCAGATGCACTGTTATGTGCTTGTTTGTGCACATGTGTGTTTCTGAGTGTGTGTGCGTGGATGTGTGGGTGCGTGCAAGGTGTGGTCTCACTGATGTATAGCCTGGAGGAACTTCCGCTGGTGTTTGCGGACCCTGGAGTGGTCAATCTTCTTCATCAGCTTGGTGTGTTTGTAGATGAGCCAGGTTTCTCTTAGCACGTTGGCCGCTGCGTTCTTTATCTGCTCACAGACAATAAACACACACACACATACACACACATTGTTAGCAACAGGTAGCCCTTGGCAACTGAAGCAGGCAACAGGTTTGCCTAGCCCTGTTCTCCTTCTCTTTTTCCCACCATTCTCCATTGTCTCCCTGCAAAGAAAAAACTAAATCATCGTTCTCTTCTTAGCGGCTGCCCTCATTCTCTCTGTCTCTTTCTACACACACCGGCTTGCTTGCCAATGCTTTTCATAAACAGCTCTCTCCTTAGGGAGATTTGGCAATGAGAACCAACAGGAGTCTCTCCCTCACACACACACACACACACACACTTCTCTCTCTCTGTCTATATGCCACATTATATTGTAGACTAGCTCAAATGGGCTGCATTATCTTGGCTGGTTGGATGTAATTGACTACAGTACCACCGCAGTTCATTAAAACCAGTGATCTTCCTTTTAATTATGACGGCAACTGAAACAAACAATAGCAGCATTAGTTGTTTCTCTTCAACTAGCTGTCAAAGACAATCCTCAACCCTCCCGAATTAGAGAAACAGCCTTTGTAATGATGCTCTTACGGAAAGCCATCAGAGACAGTGGTCAAGATGGTTATTTTTCTCTACTAATCCGACATAGACTTCAGTTGTAGTTTGCAGCATCTGAATGTGCCATTGCTGTAATTGAATAAAATACCATTTCAAAATGTCAGTGTAGGCTTCAGACCAATGATTTGGACATGGATCTGGCTTCTGTTACATTAATATGTTCCTGTGTGTTTCATCTAGTGTATGTCCCTATAGGTTGCTATGTGATTACAACACAGGGGTCTGACACCCAGCAAATAGCGCGGGCGGATACCATAGAGAAGGGAGAAGGGAGAGAGAATCTGTAAGGACATAAATTGAATGAGAGACTTCAAAGAGATGCTGAGCACTGAACAAAGAACAATTATACCCCCGTCTGAGGAGCACAAAAGACCCCGGCAGCTTGGCTAATCAGCACCTATCCACCGCAGTCAAGGACTGCTCACACACATACACGCCTACACATACACACATGCAGACAAACACACACTATTGGCTACAGATGAAGAGAGTAGGAGGCCCTGGGCCTTGCAGATGTGTTTTCAATGACACAGAAGAAGTCAAAGCAAAAAGACCTAATCCAACATGCTATAGATACTATATAAGACCCCTCCAGGAGATTGAGTCATACTAACCAGTCACTCTTAATGGCAGTTAGCACTACAAATGTGACACTGTAACACTGTTAGAAAGGATATTTGCAACCAAACATCACAGATAGGCATGAAAAAGTTCATTTGTCTGGATTATATTTAAACAAAAGACAGCTTCTCTAGTCTTAATCATGGGCCAGGTTACTGAAGAGCGCATTTAATACCCCTTACTTCTACAAGTCCATTGGTGAATTGATATGTCAAATCCTATTCATCATCTGATTAATCACTGCAGGCTGAGTGAAATATGATAAACGATGGCATCTTGTGTCTGTCTTGCTGGCTCGCCGTAGAAATTTTCACACAAACTTCCAACATCTGTCCAGCAGTGCAGAGGGATCCTGTTGCGCTGCTTAAGGCCATTTAATTAGACGATGCTAAAGCTTCACCCTCCATTTAAACCCTGGGAACTGCTCCACATGCAAAAAACAGGGACTGAATACCACGCTGTTTGTATCTTACGGTTAATTCCCCCCACCACCCTCTGTATTTTTCTTTCTCTCTCCTCCCGGGAGTTAACATAGAAACTGAGGCAAAGACAGCACCTCCATTAAAAAAAACATTAAAGACTCAACATGAACCGCTAAGAATACTCCACAAGAAACCAAACGACAGCAGCAGCAGCCATTCTTGGACCATATGGCCTGTATTTGGGCATCTATGTTGGGGCCATATGGCTGGTTTGGGTCAAAGATCTGTTCTGGCTGCTCCCCTACACAGCACACCTTATGGCAGGTACAAGAGGAATCTGTTAAGACAAGGGGTTCCCACACTTCAGCATGCTGGGTGTGTGATGACATATTGTGTATAAATCAATCAGTATAAATAGAAATAGCTTAGAAATGTAATTACAGTAAATGTAAGTATTTTTCAAATAAGCGTGGATTCAAATATTTAGATACTCTATCAGAAACAAAAAAACAAAAAACAAAACTGGGCTCTGACACTTCATTGTTGTGGAAAAGCTGAGACTCCTGACCCTTCTTACCCAGGAGAGCATTAATGACCTATGTATGTAATTAGTAATTATGTGCTGTGGTGCTAGAGATACAATGGTGTTTTCTAGGAGAGCAGAAAACATAAACAAACAGGCCAATTACCTTGGCAACAACCTCCCACCTCATCCATGTGCCACGGCAACACGTGGCCTTACCTGCTCTGACCTTACCCTCACATGCATGGTGACAAAAGGAAGAGACAAGTCTAACACACACACACACACA